GGCTGGGGATTTAGCTCAGTGGTTCCACTGCCTGCTCCGCAAGCACAAGGACCCGAGTTCAATCCATGGTACCAAAAAAAAAAAAAAAAAACCATAGAAGAGCTAAGGTTAAAGGTGTATGCTACCATACCAGAGTAGGAGAACGTATTTTGATTCTCGCCACTACTCTAATGGTGAGAACTGCTGGCAGAGTTGGGGACCCCAGAGTGGCCTAGAGCATAATCTACCCCTCATAAAGCTGCTACCAGTCTGCATATTCTGGTCATATGTGGTATCTTGTGTCCCACTCAGTCAGGCATTTGTGGATAGTGCGGGGTCTAACCTAACTGGAGATCTGGGAAAATTGGCGATTTCAGCATCCTCAGAGCTGACTAGAATGCTGCCCCTCTTGGCAGCAGCTTTTGTTACTCTGTCTTACAGAATGAATCTGATGTGCATTTGTTCCTTAGCCACCTGAGGCACAGTTCAAGTTCCATTAGAAAACCAGTATTATCTTTCTCATGCCTCCAGATTCACCTCCCACCCAGCCTTGAATGGTGTGCCATCCGTGGAACCAAACAGTTCTTCTTGAATTATGTTAACTTTGGGTCATTAGAGTATTTTATTCACCACCAAGATCCTGTGAAGCCACCTCTTATCTGTCTTCACCTTCCTTTAAGGTAAGAGCCTCCTTAAATATATCTCTTGACTCTCAACCTTTCTGTATTCCCCTCTTAAAGGTATGAAATTTATGTTTGTGAATCATCTTCCCTTCCAGGGAAGAGTTCTTTTATGGTTGAGCATGCATTGAGGAAAAAGAATAGGGATGAGCATTCTGTCATTAGCATCACTCAAAATCTAAGCCTTTGGATTAAAAAATGTTTCATCTCTCCTACTTTATATACTACTAAAAGAGGTAGTTTAGAAAACTATGTCATGAAAGCATCAATTAAAGCAGAATATAAAAAGAAATACAAGGTACAGATCAAACACTAACATTTAATCCAGGGACTGCCAGCTAAACATGCAGAAGCCTTTGGGGTATTTCTTGGTCACTTGCCATGCAAGTGTCCTGCGAATTTATTGGTGTGGCAAAAGGTCACTGTTAAGACTGCAGTAGAGCAACTAAAGGCAGTCTCGGGGGAAAGATATCATCTAAGCTTCTGCTTGATAAGAGAAGCAGCCTTTTGCTCAGTGCCCCAAATGCGAAAGAAGAGCTACAATTGGATACATATTGGAAACAGATCATATCAGGTGAGAAATGCAGTGATATGATTGTGAACAAATCTTTTTGTCATCTCATGGTAAAACTGATGCTATGTTTCAATATTCTCTGCTTAGACTTTTGAAGAAATTCAGCAACCAAAAAGAAAAATATCTTCATTAGAGGGCTGAGAAATGTCTGCAAAATCAATCTGAATAGAAATTAAGAGGCTTTGCCAAAACCACCCATTTTTAAACTTTTATCAACACTGACTTGTGAAAAGAAATTATACAATTGTAAGAGTAAATGTGGGGAAAGAAAATCTCCTTAGAATTTAGAAAAATTTCCTTTAAAACTCTCAGGCATAGTCAAGTGTAGGACAGAACTGTGCAGGAAGCCAATATTCAATATTCCATAGGCTACCATGTAAAAATGTAAGCTTCGCCCTCTTGAATGTAAGTAAAAAATTTCCCCCTTTTTGTTCTTTGTTACATGGCATACTCATGCCATAGGCTCTTTTTTCCCCTTTCTAATGCTGACTTTAACACACATGCTGTGGAACATTAACAGACACACTGGATGCTTTGAAAAAGCCTCTCTTAAATTCTAAGACAACTCTCATTTTCCCACCCCCACTGAAGTAATGAGTGGTATCTCTAGGGAGAAGCTGTGGATCAAATTCTTCCACTCAATGTCCAACTACGAGTAGATATTTTAACTGAAAAATAGAAAAACTGGAAATATGCCAATAGTCTCATGAAACAAGACATTGGATCAACGTGAAATATGTCCAAATACTCAGGTTTTGACCAAACTTCTGTGGTTATTGGATTTTTTTGTTTTTGTTTTGGTACCAGGGATCGAACTCAGGACCTTGTGCTTGCAAGGCAGGTGGCAGCACCACTGAGCTACATCCCTGGCCCTACTGGCTTATTTTTTAATGGACATGGCAATGGTAAATAATCACCCCCCTGATACTTTATAGTCCAGTTTAACCAAAATGAGTGTTATTTTTACTACTGAATGTTGATACATAAACTTTTTTTTTTTGGTACCAGGGATTGAACTCAGGACCTTGCGCTTGCCAGGCAGGCGCAGCACCACTGAACTAAATCCCTGGCCCTATAACATAAACTTTTGAAAATGGCAGGTTTTTGCAGTGTAGTGAGGCCGAATCACAATATTATAAAAGGTATGTCTATTCTGATAGATGATTTGTCTTTTAAGGACAAGAATAGTGACCTTAATGCACAGTAAAAGCACTGGCAATTTTTCTTGTGTAGCAGAGAAAGAAGCTTTAAATGAGCAGTATAGTCTCTAGCTTCTACCTAGCCCAAACATTCCCCTTCTGAGTCTTTGCTAAAGTGCAAATTAAATTGACCTCTTTCTATCCATCTCCTCAGATTTGTCTCATAATGGCCAGAGGAATAGAGGAGAATCCTTGGGAGAAAAGTTTCTAAAAGCCAATAGGTAAACATGTACTGAAAAAAGCCTTAAGTAGGGTGTTCCTACCATGTAGCTTTCAACCATGCTTGTGGAGATTCTCCACAATCTTGGCTGCTAGGAATTTTATATAAAGCTCTGAAGACAATGAAGTCAGTCTGAACCAGAGACAGGAGGAAACCTGGGAAGGGACACTGCCCTGAATATGGCTTTATAAGCAGTTGGGTGCCCTAGGGAAACCAGTACTGTGTCTGCTAATGACCCTAATTTAGAATACTGGAGATGACCACCAAATCTTAACTATAAAGCAGAGTATCCAGGAAGTTAGAAATGTTACCACATGTTTATAAATACCATCTCAAAGAGCCAGTCAAGTGTCTCCAACTATCTAGATGAACTGTTTCTCACTGAAGTATAAAGAATAGGTTTCTAAAACCTACTCCTAAAAGATTTGTCCTATTCTCTGAAGGTTTTATGTATATACACGGCCAGAGTTCAGAGCTGCTGATAGAGACATCGCTCTACAACTGGCTAATGAGAAAAACATTTAGGAACCAGTTTTTGACAGGAAACTACTCATATTGGATAAGGACAAAGAGTACTGAACTGGCTTGTGGTTTTAGCCTATTGTGGAAGATGTACACAATGCCACTGGTAAATTACTAAAATTACAAAACAAGACATTGATGCAGCATCAAAACAATTTTTTAAAAAGCAGCTTCCAGGGCAAAACTTTAATGAGGCACTAGATTGGTCTGTATTTTGTACAAAACTCATCACAATGAAATAAAATGTACAGCTCATGATAAAAATGAAACTCTTGCCACTGACATTCATGATTAAAGGACTGGATCAATGATAGAATAAGGCACATCCCTGTGGATTAGGTTAGCTGATTTATGTATGACCAACTAAAATCCTTATTCCTGAGGGGATGGATGACCTGTGATGGATGATCCACAATAGAGCCATGCTACTGATTCCCTGACAGCACCAATTAGCTATCTCTGCCAGGCTAGACACCCTGGAGGTACCTGAGTACACAGAGAAGGGGACCAATGAGACAGGAACACTGAGTGAGTATGGGCCCAGGGTGCTGTTTCAGCAGTCTCCACACCCACAAATTCAATCAGCCCACGAGTATGAGGTTGGTCAAAAAAAAAAAAAAGGTGTTTGTTTGTTTTGTTTTGAAACTACAAGTGTAGTGCTGTGCCTGAGAAACCAGCTCTACCCACCATGGCAGGTGTTTGCACTGGGCCACTACCCACTTACCAAGAAAGTTCTTCAGCTGTTGATACTTCTGCAGGTTTTAAGATCACTCTTCTGGAATAAATGCAGCCACATCAGAATCCACAGTTGGGGTTTTCAGGAGGTTGCCCACAGAAATGTCCAGTGCCTCTGACCTCAGGAGTAGGCTGTAATCTAGTTATAAAAAAGACTTCGCATCTTTCCCATCAACCCCAAGCCCTAAAGGGTACAAGGTGGAATGGTCTTATTTTCCAGGTCAAGACTCTCATTAACCCTTGGTTTTCATTATATTACCGATAGCCCTATTGCAAACATTTATCTCCTCAATATTCATACCTCTTATTGTGTTGTGCCCCCCACCACAACTTTCATGGTAGATAATACCAAGGGGGTATATTAAGAGATGGTGTACAGGTAAGAGTCTAGTCAACATATGGACTGATTCTTCAAGTATATATGTAATTTGGCCATGCACATTATTATGGGACCTGATAGAGTAGGCCTTTCATTTTCTAATCACATATGGTGAAGTAGAAGAGCTCCTTTAAGGGGCCGGGTATTTAGCTTAGTGGTTCCAGCTCCTGCCTCGCAAGCACAAGGTCCTGAGTTCGATCCCTGGTATCAAAAATAAAAGCTCCTTTACTGACTAGACTTGGACATGGAAAACAACATTCATTAGAAAGAACCCTAAAATAAATTTTTCTGAATTAAGATCTTTCCTTTGGTGCAAACTTGTGTGTTTTTGTAAATTCCTCATTTAAAACATTGTAGAGGAGGGCTGGGGATTTAGCCCAGTGGTTCCGGCACCTGCCTCGACGCAAGGTCCCGAGTTTGATCCCCAGTACCAAAAAATAAAAAAATAAACAAACAAACAAAACATTGTAGAGAGGTCAGGGATTTAGCTCAGTGGCACCGTGGCTGCCTCTGAAGCACAAGGTCCTGAGTTCAATCCCTGGTACCAAAAAACAAAAACAAAACAAATAAACAGAAAAAACCAGAGTAGAGGACAGGTTTTAAGAGCCTGAGTAATGAATGTATTCAGTTATTTGAGAAAGTAAAAAGGCTAACTGAACAGTATTACATACAAACTTAAGACATTATTCAAAATCATTTAAAATACCAAAAAGAGTTTCAAATAGAGTATTTTATTCTCATGTTAGTTGCCTTTTTAACATGTATACACACACTGACACACTCTGATTGGTCTGCGTGGAACAAGGGTTGTCTAATATCCTAAAGGAAAATGAAAAATTAAAAAATATATTAATTTTTCATTATTATAGGCAATTACATCCACATCACAAAGCTATTACTGATCTGTCCAAGGAAGCAGAGTGGTAGAGGGGAGGAAACTTGAGGCTAAATTCAACAGTGACAACTGAGATCTCAACATGAGAAAGCTGACCAAACATAGATTTTTGCTGTGAAATATCTCTGCAAAATATGGAGAAAAGTCTGTCAATGGGTAGTAAGTAAGAGAAGGTGGTGAACTTTTTGCAGTCAATTCTCTTCACAGTATGGTGCACAGGCATCGAGAAAATTGCTTAGTCTTTCTCTGGGACCAATTTCAGAACTTTTCCAATTGCAATGGTCTTACCCTCATCTCTTAAAGTAAAACGACCCATCTGAGGAAAATCTTTAAATGTCTCGAGGCAGATAGTTCCTGCTGTCCTTAAACGAGCAATACACACTTGATCTTGTTTCACAAAGCGGGGCCGTGTCTTACTTTTCTCTCCTGATTTTTTATCTACCAAGGAGATTAAAGCTGTTATCTCAACTTCCTCGATACAAGTATGAATGTGCAGCACCGCATTATAACCTGGGCAGATGATAGATTTGTGCTCAATAATCACTATCTGAACATCAAACATGCGTCCAAAATGGCAAAGATTACTAGGGTCACAAAGTATGAAGCCTGGAAGAATCTCCTCTTCTTCAATTCCCTTCAGTCTGATTTTGAGGTTTTCACCTGGGGCTACAAAATCAGTTTCAGTATCATCCGAAAGTATTCCAAGAACTTCTACATTGTGCTTGTTTGGCATCATCACAAGCTGCTGGCCTTTAAAAATGGATCCTGATTCCAGCTTTCCCAGGACAACAGTGCCCATATCCTTGTACTTATCCACAACTGGCAGCCTAATTGGTCCATCAATTGATCTGTTGAAGTTTGGCAAATTATCCAAATATGGAATAAATGGTAATCCAGTGTACCAAGGGCACAAATCTGACTGCTCTTTAATATTTGCTCCAGTCAGTCCTGAGCAGGGCATAAAGTGAATGTCCTTTTTTGGACTGAAGCCGACTTTTTTCAAAAATGGCACTAGTTTTTCTTTACACTCTTCATATCTCTCACTGCTCCAATTTACTGTGGGATCATCCATCTTATTGATAAGCACTATTAAATGTTTTACCCCTGCTGTTTTGGCCAACATTGCATGTTCCCTTGTCTGTCCACCTTTTTCAAATCCAGTCTCAAACTCTCCTTTCCTGGCAGAGATTACCAGCACAGCCAAATCAGCTTGAGAAGCACCACCAATCATATTTGGGACAAAACTCTTGTGGCCAGGGGCATCTAAAATTGTGAAATGTTTCTTTTCTGTTTCAAAATAGGCACGACCCACTTCTACTGTTTTACCCTTGTCTCGTTCTTCCTGATTTGTATCTAAGGCCCAGGACAAATACCAAGTTTCTCGGTTTTTTTCCTTAGCTTCTCTTTCATATTTCTCAAGTGTCCTTTTGTCAACCATTCCAGTCAAAAACATTATCTGTCCTCCAATGGTTGACTTGCCGGCATCTACATGCCCGATGAATATCACATTTACGTGTTCTTTCTTAGGAGCACCTGATGGTAAGACCACGGATTTTGATTTTCTTATTTCCTCTTTCTCCTCCATCATTTCCTGGCCACCTTCTTCAGGGGTCCCTGAATCTCCCAAGGAACAGCCCCCAGGCTCTGCTTCACTTACTTTACTGTGCTCCCATGATTCTTCTAGGACCATTTCCACCTCTCCATTTTCTACAACAGGTTCTGAAAGTTCCATGGTAAGGGCTGAATTAGAACCTTCACACAACACTAACGCTTTATCTTGGAAAGGTTCCACAGGTGCCCCCCGTCCCAGCCTTTTACCTTGAAAGTCTCCCGCGCCGGTGCAGGTTTCATCATTGCTGGCTGAGCCGGCCAGGGGGTTGGGCGGCTGCACCGAGCCCCGCAGAAAGGACGGCACGAACTCCGCGGCGTGTACGTTAGGCACGAAGGGTTTGGCGTTGACGTTGAGCTGACGGCTGAAGGCCGAGCTGAGATGCTCGCTCTGGGCCTCCGCCACTGCTGAGAAGATTCCACCCCCACTCGGGCCCGAACCCGGGGTTTCCATGTCCACCTGGTCCCAGCAGTCGGGCGCCGAATCGCTGCAGCTGCTGCCCGGATCCATGGTCTGTGGACCTGGAGCGTGACAGAGGAGCCAGACAGACAGGCCAGAAGAGCGGGCTATGCGGGCGGGGTTAAGGCAGAAAGAACTAAGGGCCAACGGGTAGCTGCACGAACCTTAGCGCCACGGCGGAAGCAGCTAGGTGCGGATGCTGCATTCGCAACTGCGGCGGCGGCAGCAGATATGGCGGCTCAACACTCTCCTCTTGTGTGTGAGCGGATCTCCTCCCCCAAAACCCCAACCACTTCCGACTCCTCCACCCCCCGACCCAACGCCGGTCGTGGATTGACCCCTCGCTGCCATCCGTAGGTTTGGCCTCAGCTGTCAGCCAGTGGTTAAGTCCAAAAGTACAATTTTTAAAAAGAAAATTTCCATTTACTTTGTTCACCCAACTTGGGAGAACAATTCAACCGCAATCTAATGATTAAACCTTAGACAAGCACACCTGATTTACAATTCTCAAAAATCCAAGTAAAAATGAAAATTCCTATTGAATAAATGGGGGAGCAGAATGTGAGTTAATTACCCAGAAACCAGCAACCAAAGGAAGAAATAAATAATGACAAGTCAAGGACTCATGAAATACATAAAGATGTAGTTAAACTTAGCAAATGGAATTTAAGATCACTTATTAATTTGAAATCCAAATGTCTTTTGATTGTCCCTTTTCTGGTGAGCCCCATGAGGCTGTAACTTCTGCTGATGGCTTCTACAGTTTAAGGATGGGGCTACAACTTCTTTTCATATTAAGCTCTCTGGCTGTCTGCGTGGAATTTCCAAGAAAACCTTTGTTCTAATGAAGTTTCTAATCACTTCATATGCAGGTGCCTGAACAATGGTTGGCCTGCCATTCTGTGGATTCACATCACTTGTCTTTCCCCAACCAACTCTGTTCTGGGTGTAGCTGTTCTACTCACCAGCACCTCCCCTGAGTACACCCTGGATTCACAGGTCACAGGTTTTCCGGCTTCATTCTGGGAGGCTGAAACCTCCCCTCACTGCTGGTGCTGGGTTTATGCTAAGAATCAGTACCATGTTAAACCCCTTCCCAGTTGGTGGTAATGACATGGAGGGGGTCTGTTAGCCCAATTAAAGGAAATATGTCCTCCGAGTTAGTCATTAAGACTCTTGGCAATAGAATTTCACCCTCAGAAAGAGTTAACATTTGAGTCAAAGCCTAGATGATCTCATTTGTAAATTATCTTGATTTATAGAAAACTGAAATAGAGGATAATACAATTTTCTAGTATAAAATGGAATCACAGACTTGTGTTTTAAATAAACAACAACAAAGCACAACATCATAAAACCAAGAGGTTGATTTATAACTTGAAAACTGTGTTCTACAAACTTTAGAGGTAGGAGAAAAAAACCTTATGTCTGGAAATTTGGACCCTTGATGCTTTCGGCATGAAGCTGCCACTATTTTACCAGGTCTGTGCTGTTCCAAAATCTTTAGATATCAAACATCCCTTCATTCTTTTTGCCTCAGGTAATGGCTTGTTTACTACAACATGAAGAGCATATGCACAACTATTCACAATGAATAGGAAGAATCGAGAGGTGAAATGTGTAGAGTGACCTTTGGCTAATTCCCCACACATGTGCTGGGGCCTTTCTTGGTCATTCTAAGAGCCTAGGATATAGACTTAGTAAAATGTCTCTGGAGAACTTTCCAAGTTGTATTCACATTAAGGTAATTTATGCAAAGAAGTGGGACTGATCTAAATATTTTTCCTTCTACCACATCAGTTGCATTGGTCATGTTATGAAAATATTAGCATGACTACTATTTGGTGATATCTCTGTTAGAGAACAGAGGATGCTCCACTTTTAAACCTTAAAGGAGAAATGAGAAACAGTGGGTGAATGTCCTTATGATTCATCACTCTTAAGGTTTGGCAGGAAGCAGGTGAATCTAAGAGAGAGAGAAAGATTGACCAGGTTGTATCCAGAGAAACTGACCTTGGAAAAAACTGGGTTTGTGTAATGGGGTGCTTATTTCTAGTCTCTCTGCATAGAACTTTGGAAAGATGGCCTTGTAAAGATTGTAAGGGAGGATAACAAGGAAACTGAATAATGGAGGAATACTTAGAATAGATCCACAGGGTATGGAAGAGGTGGTTTACTTGGGAATAATAAAATTATTAAAAAATAATTTCATTTAAACAAAAGCAGTTTAAGCAGGAGAACATAATCCCAGGTTTTGAAATTTTCCTTCTCCCAATTTACAGCTACCTGGGCAACCTGAGGCATAAGCAGTTTTAAGTTCATCTAGGTTTAAGGAATAGTGTCAAATGGGCTGAAAGGAGAACAGGATGATACTGAGGAGCTAGTAAACATAGAGTTGAAAATGCTTTCCTGGATGCTTTAAACTATTTCTCTCAGCACATGTTCCAGCCTCTCTGTACGGAAAAGGCTGGGAAGCCTAAGTCCTCATTTCCTTTAGTTGTTGCTGCTCGGGTTGCATATGCGTTTCCTTCTGTCAGTCTGATGCATGCTGGCCAGATTTCATTTAGCACCGATCTAAGTGTAGAGAGATGTGAGGAAAAGCGGAAGAATCTCCACTGAATCAACAGTTCTGATGGAGATTCCTGTTTCTAGCAGGGCAACTAAGATGCCTTATGCCTAGAAAGAGCTGCAATGGAAGTTTCCTGGTTCCCCTACTCTGCAGAGATGGCAGCCCCCCTTGGCAGCCAATTGTGCTGTATGGTTCTGGTAATCTATCTGAAAGGCCCAGAATAGATCTTATTCCTCCAGGCCCTAGAAAGACAGAATTTATGAGGTCCTAACCCTCCATGTTAATCCCTGTGCTAATTAACATGGAGTGCATTCTGTTACTATCAGCCAAACACTGATTTGTACAAGTACTACATAGGTAAAACCCAAATGCAAGGACTACCATTTCTAACTTTTTCCTTTGTTTAACTTTCTTAACAATATTGTCCCTCTGTTTGCTTATCTGAGAGGTGGAGATGAATCTACAAGTACACCACTGGGTTCTAGATGCAAGGATATATATAGGCTACAAAGACCCACGGAGGCTGGAATTATAAGTCACTTTAACAACTTCATCATTTTCAAACAAAAATACTTACCATTACTACAATAAATTGTGGGACAGCAGTCTTATCAGTCCATAATACTTGATAGTCAACCATGGGAATAGCCTACCTAAAAATAGCACAAGTTTGAGGTTTAAAGGGAAAACAATGTATCTTCATTCGGAGGCAGTTCCCATTTCCTGCACTGTACACACTATAGCCTGGGGATTTACTCATACAGTGTTTCCAGGGTTAGGTGACAGTGAACCTATAAAACCAGACCCTAGACTACAATTCTATTATTTTCAGACTAGTTCACCTACAATTAACACAAACTATATGAAGAACTTCAAAGCCTGAGATTATTGGTCACTTAGCCTTTTAAATTTTCTACCAGCACCCAAAAGTCCTATAACAAAGTTTGTAGACGAACTTAGTTGCCTCATAGCTAAGTGCTGCAGTAGTTCACCCAGAAAATAGTCTTAATTTGAGGGTTAAAGGGTGGAAAATGAAGAGCTATAGGTAAACATGTTGGCAAAGCTACCTTGCATATATACTAATAACCCCTGTGCAACTATTACCCTGTTCCTTCAAAATAATGGGATAAATTAAAGGGATTGTTTAATTCTCCCAATTTAATCCAATACTTCTTGTGACAACCTGTATCCAAAAGAGCTATTGTTTGACAGTTTGTTACCCTTAAAAATGTATTTTGAAGCTTAATCTCTAATGCAATAGAATCAAGGAATGGGAATTTTAAGAGGTGACTAAGTTATGGGGGCTCCTCCTACAAGAGTGAGATTAAGATCCTTATAAAAGAGACATTACACAGTGTTCAGCCTGTTTTGACTTTCTACATTTGCCCACTTGAGGACAAAGCATTTGGTCCCTCTAGAAGACATATACCAGACAACATCTTGGAAACAGAGATCTTTATCTGACACTCAATATTCCTTCATTTGGGCTTGGACATTCTGCCACTAGAAATGTAATAAATAAATTTCTGTTCTTAATAAATATCTTGAGTGTTTAGTTATACTAGCAGTAATGGAGTATGACACCAAATAATCAAGGGTAAAAATGTTTTACACATCTTGGCGTGCACGTGCTTTACAATGTGATAACAACCTTTTGTTGTGCTCATTTCACAATGACACAGGACAGCAAGCTTTGAACCCCATGTTAGCTATCAGAAAATTGGAGAATGCCCCACAATGTGGGAAAAAAATCTTCACCTGCTCTTCCTCAGACAAAGGTCTACTATCTCGAATCTAAAAAGAACTTAAAAAGATCAGACCTCCCAAATTTAAAGACCCAATCCAAAAATGGGCATCTGAAATGAACAGACATTTC